TCATCTCATCTACTTAGGGAGATTGCCAGGCATACCTTGATCCCCTTTTCACTGCTCAGTCAATCAGAGGACTCACTTCATTTGTTTTCCATCTCTATTCTTTGTCACCTGATAGCCAATCTCTTGAAAACTGTTTTTTGATATATTTTGCCCAGTGTTTAGTTGTTTTTAGATGGAAAATAATTAATAGTTGCTATTATTCCATCTTGGTCAGAAGCAGAATTCTCTAAAAATTTAAAAAACATATTTTGTTTCCATACTCTAATTATGTCTTCATATTTATGATGTATTTTTAGTTGTATATACTGCATTATTGAATATTTTCCTGACAAAAGGGAAATTTTGTTTTGACTAGCGTTGATGAGATACTAACTTCCCATCATAATTTTACATATCCAATAACTGGAGGAATTTTCTAGAGACCAACTCTGACTTCATACATTTAAAACATTGTCCTCCATTTCAGATTTTACTTTTAGAGTCAGGTGCTATAAGATATGGGCTTTCCTGGTGGCACAGACAGTAAAGAATCTGCCGACAATGTGGCAGACCCACAGCAATATAACCTTTGATGCTCCTCCTTCATGTCATTATGCCTGCAAGGTGAGGAAGCACAGTGATAGGATCACTCCTGGAAGCCATTCCTACACTGGGAAAACTAGCAAAAACTCAACCATACATGAAAGTGACTGCAAACCACATAAATATATTTTACTCAAACATAACCCGTTATTCAACTTACCTTTAGCTGAATTCCCAAAATGCTTTGATCACCACTCCAAGATTAACCAATATACAGGAAAGTGTGATATAGATGCCAGTGTAAAAAGAGACAGCAGTCTTAACTGACTACAATTAAAATATCTTACTTTAGCAAATTTTATAAAAACATTTGATTAGGTCTGGAGGGGGCTGTACTAATGATAGTCCTTGAAGCTTCACTTCATGGTAAATCTGCCTCTGCTCAAGATGCTGCTTCAGTTCAGGCTCCCTGTGGCCGACCAAAGTGAAGTGAAGTCGCTCAGTTGTGTCTGACTCTTTTCGACCCCATAGACTGTAGCCTACCAGGCTCCTCCATCCATGGGATTTTCCAGGCAAGAGTACTGGAGTGGGTTGCCATTTCCTTCTCCAGAGGATCTTTCCGACCCAGAGATCAAACCCAGGTCTTCCGCACTGTAGGCAGATGCTTTACTGTCTGAGTCACCAGGGAAATCCCAAACAGAGTCGAAATTCTTTCCCTTGGCAGATCTTGCCTTTTCCTGAACTCATTTACTTTTCCAGATCCGCACTCCTACCTCAGAGTTTCTCCCATGCAGGCTGGCAGCTTGGTGCATTGCGTATGTTGTTCTCATTACCTGGAATACTCTTCACTGACTTCTTCTCCTGGGAGCAGCTACCCCTCCTTCAAGACCAGGACAAGTGTCATTTCCTCTATGAGTCCATTCCTGACTTCCCTGGGGATTAATTGTGTCAACACAGCCTACCGTATTTTTATTTTATTTATTTTTCAAGCTTTATTCTTTGAACAAAGAATGGAGAGTTGTGAGCTAGTGCTCCTGGGTACAGGATCTTCCTGAAAGGCCCTCAGCAGGGCTGTTTTGTAAGGATCTTGTCAGGAGAGAGGGGAGAGTTCTCGCAAGTCTGGTGCAGCTGTGTCTCCCAGAACCCACCGGAGATCTCGCAGTACCGGGGTGCACGTCTCTGCATGTGGCCTGCTGCCGCCATCTTGCATCATGGTGTATGTGTGGCGGGAGGCGTCCCTGCACCTGGGCCACGGAGCTGAAGGGTTGAGCGCAGCATTTCACAGGAGTGCAGGTCTCAAGTGCCAGCCAGTGGCAGGGTCAGCACTCTAGGAGCAAGTGAAACCAGTGTCAGGACTTCCTGAAGTTCAGATTCTTTATTTCTCATAAAGAAGAAATTCGGCAAGAGGCAAAGTGAGAGGTAAGACATAGATTTACTGACAGACACACTCCGTAGAAGAGCGTGTGCCATCTCAGAAGGTGAGAGGCCTTGGGAGATACACATTCCATGGAATGTGGTCCCTCTGGAAAGAAGTGAGAGCGGCTTCCTATTTTTATCATAGTCCGCATGATACCATGTTTTGTACTGTCTCTCCCACCATCATTTTTTTAAAAAAATCACTTTTTGAAATATATGTTTGTTTATTTGGCTACACCGGGTCTTAGTTGCAGCACATGGGGTCTTCGATCTTCGCTATGGCATGCGGGATCTGTAGTTGCAGCACACAAATTCTCAGTTGTGGCATGTGGGATCGACTTCTCCCATCAGGGATTGAACCCAGGGCCCCTGCACTGGAGAGCAGAGTCTTAGCCACTGGACCACCGGAGAAGTCCCCCACCATCATTTTAAACCTCTAAGGCCTGTAAACGCCATTACTTCTGTATCCCAGTGCCTAAGTCAGTGAGTTCTACCTAGTAGGAGCTAGTGTGCACATGTCTGAACAAATGAAATCTCTTTGTTTTCCTCCCACAGAGTGCTGGCTCTTGCTCACTTGTTTGGCTTAATAAGGTTTATTCCCCACCCCCAGCATAAACTGTATAGAGGAGCAAGACATTTCTGAAGCATAATTAAATGGACGAATGAACATACAAATATGTATTGATAGAGTCATCCTGACCCCTGTGTAACAAATAGTTATGGATCAACTACTATTAGGAGGTATTATTAGTATTATTAGGAGGTAATTAGGAGTAGGAGATCACCTACTATTAGGAGCCACCTTGGTCACTCAGATTGTAAAGAGTCTGCCCACAATGTAGGAGACCCAGATTCCATTCCTGGGTGGGCAAGATACCCTGGAGAAGGGACTGGCAACCCACTCCAGTATTTCTGCCTGGAGAATCCTGTGGACAGAGGAGCCTGGTGGGCTACAGGCCATGGGGTCACACGGAGTAACACATGACTGAGCAACTAACACGTGTATATGTACTATTAGGAGCTACATAATACTGGGAACTTTCCTTTCTGAGTGCTTTGTGTGTTGGTGGGTCGCTAAGTTGTGTCCACCTCTTTTGCAACCCCATGGACTGTAACCTGCCAAGCTCCTCTGTCCATGGGATTTTCTAGGCAAGAATACTGGAGTGGGTTGCCATTGCCTTCTCTAGGGGATCTTCCTTACCTAGGGATCAAACTCGCGTCGCCTGCATGGGCATGCAGGTTCTTTACTACTGAGCCCTTTCGAGTGCTTTCTTATGCCTTAACTGGTTTGGAGTCTTAAGAGTTTCTCAGTTAAGGCACACAGCAACCCTAGGAGGCAATTTCTGTTGTTGGCTACCCTTCTAGGAATTTGGGCTTCCACGCCTAAGGCGGGGACTGGTGATTGAGCTGCAGGAGGCGGCAGGGCGCGCACGTGGGGCCGGGACACAACCCTGCCCACGCCAGCCAGTCTGAAGGGTCGCTTCCAGACCGCTGACCCGTCCTTTCCTAGGGAAGTGGGTGTGTGGCCAGACTTGGGTGCAGAGCGAATCTTAGCGACTGAAACACCAGGGGGCGCTAGCGATTCAGCTTCCCGATGTAGAGCCAGGCTGCCCGTGGCAACCTCTCAGCTTCCCTTCTAGGCCCTTTCGCCGGTTGCTCAGTCGTGTCTGACTCTGTGACCCCATGGACTGTAGCCTACCAGGCTCCTCCGTCTATGGGATTTTCCAGGCAAGAGTACTGGAGTGGGTTGCCATTTCCTTCTCCAGAGGATCTCCCAGCGATCCAACCTGGGCCTCCCACATTGTAGGCAGACGCTTTACTGTCTGAGCCACCAGGGAAATCCATACCCCAACATTTGCAGATAATCTGCCTGCACTCACCATGTCCTACGTACTTTCGCGCTTTATCTCATTTAATTGTCAGAAAACCTCAAAGGAAGTTTCTCACAGCTTCATTACAGTGATGCTGAAATAAAGGCTAGCAATGTTAATTCTTGCTCAAGGTTACACAGAGGATGGCAAATCCTTGTTCTGAATCTTCCCATCCCTAGGTCCTACATACCTATACCTCTACCGCTATCAGTACAACCCTGTATCCCTCTGCCTTCTGTTTATTTAAATCCTGAACTTCCTTAGGCACTTGAGGCCCAGCCACCCATTTGGGGAACTTGCTGCCTGACAGTACCCTGGGATGTCACATGGGCAAGGCTTGTTCCCTCATCAGAGTGTAAACTCCAGCCTTTAGCATGAGGCTTCACACAGAATCAGTGCTTAATAAACATAGGCTGTGTCAGTGACAGGCAGGCACAGCAAATGTCCAGGGGATTTGTGTGTGTGTGTGTGTGTGTGTGTGCGCCCGCGCGTGCATGTGTATCTCCTCAGTATAGCTCAGGGTCTGCATAGAGCCAGCAACAACAAACACCCGTTAAAAATACGTGAATGAGGATTTAATAGTTTAACATTTCTACTTTGTTCTGCCTCATGTTGGTACCCAGCTGGGACTGACAACTCCCAGAAGGTGAGGATGAGGAATGTGGGTGTGTGTGTTGGGGGGGGAGGGGGCGGTATTGGGAGAAACGGAAGAGACACAGGGCAGGGAGCAGAGCTTTCCCATGCTGAGAATAAGGCTCACATAGAGAATGAGAGGGGGAGAGAGAGAGATGCCAAGATCTAAGTCAGAGCAGAAGGAAAATGAGCCCTGAATAGGAGCCTTGTGTGTGGCCCTGTGGTGCTGACTCACCAAGACTTGGGAGAGGAGAAAACACTAGGGTTGAAGAAGCGGCCTGTGTGCTGTGGCCACAGTCTGCCACCCCAAGGACACGCTGTCTGCCCTGAGGCCCAAATGGTCTTGAGAGGTTTTGATTTGGGTCAGGTGGGCTGGGGGTTGGGGGTGGCCACTGTAAGAAGGGAGATGGGGAAGTCTTTGGAGAATACAGAAGACCCTTCCTGGGAGAGCTGTGGGTCTGAGTTCAGGTGGGCAGGCGGAGCAGGGGAAGGAGGTGTCTCTCCCCAAATATTCAGCTGCAGTCTCCTCCACAGGCAGGTGTGGCGGGTCAGACTCACAAGCCGGGAGAGGCAGGTGCTCATGGCTTCAGTGGCTTCTTGTCCATACCGGAAGAAGAAGTCATGCCTTGTGAGTAACTGCTTCCCAGAGTGGATGCGACAGATGAAGGCATAGCCTGGGAGTAGAAGCTCCGAGATCCTTCCCACTCCTAGCCTCACCTCGGCTGTCAAACCGGTTCACAGACTTGAGGACAGGATTTTTGTGGCAACCAGGATGGCAGGTGGCCCTAGGCCAGCAGGCAGAGGGCAAGCCCGGGTGGACAGGATCACAGGTCAGACGTTGTAGAGAAACAGGCAAGAGGAGGAAAGAGTGAGGGAGTAGCCGAGGCTGGGCTAGGAACTCTGGTCCCAGGTCGGCTCAGGAAGGCGCAGGTGGTTGAAGCAGAAAGAGGGAGCCAGACTGACTCTTTAGAGCTAGGCTTATTCTCCCCATCTGCAGTGTGAGGGAGCTAGAGTCACGGGGCTCTAAGCTTCCTTTCACTCTAACATCTGATGACTCCCTGTGTTACCCCTCTCTCTTCTCCCCACCAAAGCCTCCTCTCTTTCAGTGTCCTGTTCCTAGCTCAAAGTCTTAAAAGAAAGCTAACAAACCAGTGGATTCATACTGAAATGTATTACTGTCCACAAACTAATATTCTGAACTTCCCAAATGTATTACATATTTAAAAAAAAATTATTTACTTATTATTTACTTTATTACTGCATTGGGTCTTAGTTGCAGGATCTTCAGTCTTCCTTGTGGCATGCAGGATCTAGTTCCCTAAGGATTGAAACCGGGCGCCTGCACTGGGAGTGCAGTCGTAAGTCACTAGAAATCCCAAATGTACTAGATACTTTCTACTATAGTATGGCCACTGGAAGGAGAGTGGACTTGAAGGACTAATGAATGAAGGTTTGAATCCCAGCTGTGCCCCTGACTCTCAGCCTGGCTGACTTGTAGGACCTTGAGCAATGCCCTGGGCCTCAGTAGGCCTTCATTACTTTATGGGTCAAGCAGGAATAACCTGCCTCTTTCAGTAGTTGTGTTGATGAAGTAACACATGTAATATACATGATTGACAGCTTGGTACCAAATAAAATACCCAGAAAATGTGTCTGCCCACATTTAGGGGACTTAATCACGACCAGAAAGAACAGAGTCTGAGAGATTAAGGTGCAGGAGGCTTACCAGGAGCTTCCCTGGTGGCTCAGAAGGTCAAGAATCTGCCTGCAATGCGGGAGACCTGGGTTTGATCCCTGGGTTGGGAAGATCCCCTGGAGAAGGGCGTGGCAACCCACTCCAGTATTCTTGCCTGGAGAATTGAGAATCCCCATGGACAGAGGAGCCTGGCAATGTACAGTCCTTGGGGGTCGCAGAGTCTGACGCGACTGAGCAACTGAACACACACAGGCTTATCAGAGAGAACCCTTGGGATCCACATGAAGGAAGAGGGGAGGGAGGAAAAAGAGGAGGTGGGGACAGTTGAGCTGCAGCAGTCTCAACGGAGGGTTCAGTCAACCCTACAGGGAGTTTAGAAGCTCAGGTGACCCTTCAGAGCTCTCTTGATTTGGGACTAGGGGGCCAGGTCTTTATGTTCCATATCAGCAGTCTTTGGATGTGGACTGCCCATGAAAGGAGATGTGACCTTGGTGTCAAATTGCTTTCCAAAGGGCTTACAGCCAAGAGCTGTTTCCTGTCAGCATTTCCTGCAGCTAGGAAAATAAATCCTTCATTCCTGAAGGGGGACCTGCGTGTTTGCCATGCTGAGTTAATTAGTAGGACTCTTGTCAGATTAAGTAGGTGACTCCCCAGGGATAAGGCCAGTCTGCTGCTACACTTCCCAGTAATTTTTCCAAGCCAGCCATTTCACAGTGGTGTGGGCAGAGCATGCAACCTTCCCAGTGCCCCTCCAGCCCAACAGCAGCACAGACATTCACACCACTGGGAGAAAAGGAGAAACTGCTTTCACATCCCTCCAAGGGAATCAGTCGCTTGCAGGTATCCCAGGACCCACTGGATTCTTTTCAAACCTTGTCATTCCCCTTTTGCTTATGGACACTTAGGGGGTAGGAGGGGACATTTATGGGTAATGTGGTATTTTGGCAGAAGGTCCTTTCTCAGTTTGGCTTTTACACGTTCCTAGGTCTCCTCTACAGGTTACTTGAGAATGTTTTTGCAGACTGCTGTGGCCTGGGAGCTCTGTCAGTCTCCTTGAGACAGGACTCAGCTTTCACCCGAAGACCAAGCCAAGCCAACCGAAACATATTGGAAACACAGGGAGATAGTGTGGAAGTCCAGGTAAATAATGCTTTGGAGAGAGGAGAAAAGACATTTTGCTTCTTCTCTAGTTAACTTTTTCCACCCACAAGGAGCTGTTTTTGCTAGGACCACCTTTAGTGACCCTATATGGCATTATTAGTGACCCCACCTGCATTATTCAGTTGTCTCTAGTAACTTTTTACATTAACGTTGTGTCCCCCCGCAACTGGATTGTGCATACCTTGAGGTTTTTCTCTAATAGCTATGTTGGTTTCAGTCTCTATCTTAATTATCTAAGAGATCACAGTTGCTTGAGGGGAATTAATGTTTTTTGTTCCACTTACCTGAGCTGATAAATGCTTCTAGGTTAGGGTGGTGAAGCAGCAGCATGGTGTCCTGCAAGGTGTAAACCTGCCTCATGCCAAGCAGCAGCCCAGAAACTTATCTTGAGCTCCACCTTGGTTCACTGATTGGAATCTCTATGGGGAGGGGCCTGGAACTGGCATAATGAGTGACTCAGGAGATTCTCATTTGGGAAACAGGTAGTGTGAAGGAGCAAAGCACTGGGTTTTCAATCCAGGCCCTGTCACCTACTAAGGTCCCCGGTACGAATCTCTGGTCTTCAACCACTACCTCATGTGTACACTGGGGATAACACTTTAAAGCACCCTTGTGCAAATTACTAAGGGAAGATGTGAGTGAAATCATTAACATGGTTCTTGGAATCCAAATAGGCACTGCTGACTTCAAATACCACTGACATTCTTGCAAAACAGATTCCAGAGCTTTAAGTCACCTCCTTATGTTAGAGGCAAGTAAGTTCTTGTGAAAGAACAAGTGAGGGTTATGAGGAACTATTTCTCAAAATGTGATCTTCAAATCACCTACATCAGCTGGCCTTCAGGCCCAATCCCCAGGAATCTTTTTTTTTTAAGCAGGATTCCTGTAAGTATAACAAAGTTTAAGAACCATTACCCCAGTGTCCTTTCTCCTCTTTTGCTTTTATCAGTAAACTGGCCATTGATATGTGAGCAAATGGGTGGACAGGCTCTCAGGTTTTCTCAACTAGTTTTACAGCAACTAAATTAAAATTGTTCTTGGGGAACAAATGATGCTCATTTCCTACCTCTGATTGCATTATGAAAACATGAACTATTTTGAAGTAGGATTTTTCAAAAGACATTTGAAATTCTGTTTCAAGAGCCAAGCATCAGAAGTACTCTTTATAAATTACATATGCGTGCTAAGTTGCTTCAGTCATGTCTAACTCTTTGCGACCCTATGGACTGTATCCTGCCAGGCTCCCTGGTCCATGGGATTCTCCAGGCAAGAATACAGGAGGGAGCCGTCATGTCCTCTTCCAGGGGATCTTCCCGACCCAGGGATCGAACCAGCGTCTCTTACATATATATACACACACAAATTGACAAGGAAGCATTGCTGACAGTGAGCGCAGGCCATTTATGAAAAAAATGGCTATACGAAGTACTTGTTGAAAAATGGATATAACCAGTAATTGGCTTAAATGCTAGGAATGTAGATATGTAAACAACCACACTGTGTGAACATCTTTTGTACATCAAAGGATTTTAAAGTGCTTTTATCTGGCTACACTTGCATTTGCTAACAGTGTAGCAGCAATAGCACTGGACTAACAGACAAGAGATGCATGAGTCATCTGTAAAATGAGAGGGCTGGACAAGATCAGGCATTCTTATCTTACAGTAAATGATTTATGGATGGCTTTCAGGGTCTCTGGACACCATGAAGCCATCAACTGAAGTTTGCACATGAGCATATACATTTTTATGGGGACAGTGTCTAGCTATTCTTAAGATTCTCAAAAGGTCCAGAACCACCAAAATGATTTAAAAATTATAGACTGGACTATTGTGAAGGCTTCTCTCAGCTCTAAGAGTCTAAGGAAAACCAATGTTCCATGTCCTTTTCGGGTCTAACCTGGATGAGTCGTGTATCTTTGTTTTTTTTAAAGCCAGGAGCCAGTGGTCCCTTTTTACCAACCTGCTCCTTCCCCAACAAAATGGGCCCCATTGTGCAACATTCTTCACTTGGTACAAACAAGACTATTTTTGCCCAGACAGTATGATTTAAGTTGTTTTAATGTAGTCTGCTATAAAAGTGGATGAAGACTTCTGCACGGTACATTTGGTTTTACAGATGTTAATAACTAGTTAGTGCTTGTGCTATGTGCTGCACATCATTATGACCTGTTGACCAGGAACAGCTCTCACAACATGGGTTAAGACCGGAATTGTGAATCATGGAACTTCCACTTAGCACACACACACAGTCTACAGCAAACTTAAATACTAATCTATAATACCTAACTGGATTATTTGATCCATTGCAGTATTGTGCTTGTTTATCTCAGAAGATAGGCAACTAGCAAAAATACACATTTCTTTTGCGCTTCCCCCACCCCCATATTACACTGTAAAAGTAATACATTATTCAGTGCACTTTCTAAGAAATAAACTTCCTTATAGTATCTCTCTCTCTATATATATCTATGCCAAAACAAAAGAAGAGCACAATGCAACTTGTAAGATTACCATTTAAAGCAAGAGAGGTAACAATACTCTGGGATTATAGCCCCCTTTCCTGTTTAGAAAAGTTCCAGTTCATGTGACAATGCATGGGAATAAAATTTAATGCATGATTGCTCTGGGAAGTTTAAGATAACCTCTTTATCATTTGGTAGACATGCTAGGGCATTAACAGTATTTTCTTTTTTTTTTTTTTTTTGATGCATTGGCTTTAGTCAAACCATAAGCTGTGCAGACACCAGTGTACTCCAGAGTGATTTATCTTGATTTCCGTCACCTGCTTTTCTCCCATCAACTCATACTGGGTTATGAGGAAGTAGGTTTAAATCGTAACAGGAGGTCATGCTGTGTTCTTCGTCACTCAGTTGAGTCCGACTCTTTGTGACCCCATGGACTGTAGCCCGCCAGGCACTTCTGTCCAGGGGGATTCTCCAGGCAAGAAAACGAGTGGGTTGCCATGCTCTCCTTCAGGGGATCTTCCCAACCCAGGGATTGAACCCAGGTCTCCCATATTGCAGGCAGATTCTTTACCAACTGAGCCACCAAGGAAGCCCTGCCTGCTGGGTAAAGTGTTGACTAGAAGAATGTATGTGAGATCTCTCCATCCTTGTGGACACAGAATCAGGTAACCACCATGTCTGAGGTGGACAGTCATACTCTAGGAAGTTTTTTGGTTGTGCTAGCCAACAAGTTGGAAAGCTTGGAGGCTTCTGTCCGCACAAACTCACTGTGATGGAAATGACAGAAGTTTCTAGAATTAAAGAGGCTGCAGCTTGGCAGCTTGTGAGCTAAATCCAGCTGCAGAAATGTTTAGCAGTATTTAAAAATATTTTGATCAGTTCTTGATATTTAAAAATGAGAATGTTTCTCATGAAAACTTGGATTTCATAAAAATCTTAGGAGCTGGTAATCCTGGTCCAGCATTCTTGCATAGCAGCAAGCAGCTGAAGCGGCACAGGAGGTGCCCTTTTCAGCAGGGCATGAGCACTTCACTTTGGTAGGGCTCTCACTGCTCCCAGCTGTTATACGTCATTTGAGTGAGTGACTGATTTGTTTTTCTCATTTATATAACCAGTTGAGCTTTGTGACACTGGGTTGGTTTGGCCTTGTCTTCATGATGCTGAAGACCTGATGTCATGTGAAATTTCCCCCTCCCCATGACAAGATTCCTTCTTTGATTGGGTCCCAGCTACGTCTAGTTGCTTTGGTAGGTAATCTTAATATGCATTTCTACTCATCCTTTACACTATATTGCAAACTCCAAAGATACAATCACACTAATATTTATGTGTTTAAGTGTGTGTATGTTAAACACGTAAAGGGGTGTGTATCTATACAGATATATGTATACTTTCATTTAGGTAAAAGTTAATTTGGTTCCACAGATACGGACACCAAGTGCTGGCAGCTTGGAGAATAAGTGTGTAACAATTTGCTAAAACCTGTTTAATTCTGACTTATAATATTACAAAGAGGGTGAACTTTAAGTTATTGCTTTTTGATTACAGAATAAAGATCTCATTCTGTTGCAAAACTTTTATACAGAATGAGTAACCATTTCCTATTCAAGTAATAGCAATCGGAATCAGAAGTTCCTTACACAACAGTAGATGCCTGAAGACATTTTTGAAGGAGATGTGATTTCATTCTATTCAAGAACTTATGCAGGAAACTGGGAGTGATGAGATTTTTCCAAAGTACAAGAAAATCAGCACCCCAACTGCTTAATGTTCAGGAGGGTTTCTCAAGGGCTCTATAAAGCTCACTTTGTGGTGAGTTTTCATTCACCTTTAGCATTCCCATTCTACTTATGCAGCCTTATTTCTGAACACAAAGCTTGTATTAAAACAGTAAAAGAGGATTAAAAGCAGTGTTGGTTTTTAACATTCACAATTCACAGAGGATCTCATTTTTTTTTTCAGTTAAATGATCCATTCTGTGCTTTTGCTGCAGAATCACATTCATATGGCAGTCTAATTTCAGGCACTTTTAAAACATGTTCATCTGGAATAAAAAAATCTGCATGAACCACTTCCGCATAATTCAAAATGAGTGTTGAGTGATTCGAGTCCCCAGACAGACAGCAAATCACCACCTGGTACTGAAGTTAGCTTTCTCCATCATAACGTGATGGTGACTGTGAAGCTTAGGTGTCTTTGAGGTGCCCTTCTAGCTTTAGCACAAAGATGGGAATCATAAAATTCCAAACTACTTAGTTTCTACTTATAAAATACAAAAAGGTGAAACACACTAAATGTATTATACAGATGGTTTCAGCTAAGATCAAAATAAATAACATGATCTGACTCAATGGTTTGACACTTGAGCTCCTGGATGAAATCTGATGGAATGTCAAACGCAGAGACTCCCTCCTAGGCACTAGCTGCTGGTAGGCAAAAGTATCTCAACATCCTTGCCATTGGTGACAATAGCATTAGAAGAGCAGCTGCTACCAAGGTCTTCTGCAGTGGCCAAAGAGGATGCTTGGGAGTGAGTTTTGGTCAGGGGCATGGTAGTGGATGGAGAGGGAGTGAGGCCAGGCTTTTTGGGTGGGATGGGTGGAGGGTTTCCTCTCTCAGCTCTGGGGATGGTAGGGGACTTGATCCCTGGAGACAGGGGGCTCAGAGGACTGGACACCTTTCCTGGAGTAGGTGAATGGCTGGTGTCACCTCTCGCGTTGGCAGTGCTGGCCAGATTTCGGTAGTCTGTGCCAAAGGGAGAGCTGTTAGGAGACACGGGCTTGATTGGTCCTTGTTGGTTAGTGAATCTGGAGAGCACCTGAGTGACCGTGTTCCGGGCCAGCTGCTTGGCAGCAGAGTTGTCTATGAGGGTGGGGGACAGATCCCTGGATGGAGGGCTCTGCAGACCACTGGCTTGTTGGTCCTGATCTGCTTGGGACTGAAATTTGTGCCGAGCTGCATGGAACCGCTGGTTGATCCCTACTTGGTAGGATGACTGGTAGCCAGGGCTGCTGGCTGATGACCCCAATAAACGCTTAGTTAGTACTGGTGAAGAGCAAGGAGAGGATGTGAGAGAGGAAGAGGCAGTGCTGCTGGGAGATGGGGAGCTCCCACTGGAAGGCAGATGACTAGGCGCTGGGACTGGTGTCTCTATTCCCACAGGACACCCACCATTCTCTACTGCTTTTTCTTGCGCCAATTCCACAGGCTTCTCTCGTGGAGGCACTTGGTTTTCTACACTGCTGCCTGCAATCAACTCCTTGGTAGTCTGCATTTCTGGGTCAAAATGTCCATTGGTTTTTGCATAAGAGTAAGTGGGAGTGGTGGGACCAGGCAGCTCGGTGGTTGTCACCTTGGTCGTGCTGCTCCCATGTGTCTTCTCTGCCTGAAAACTCTCTGTTTGGCAAAATACAGACACTAGCACGGGCGGCTCAGTTACCGTGCCTTTAGACACAGTTACTGGTTTCTTCACTTGCTCGCTGGGGCCACTTTGCTGGTGCAAAGCCTCTAGATCCTTCACTACCTTCCTCAAGCTCTCCATTTCTTCCTTCAGAGTTCTGGTCCGGTTCTCTTCTCGGTTCAGCTTTGCTCTCAGTTGTTCCCTTTCAATGTCAAACTCCGACAACTGCTTCTCCACCTGGGCCTCCGTCTGCAAGCCCCGCTTCCGCTCGGCGGCCAGCTCTTCCTCCAGCTTGCTCACTCGGCTCTTCTCCTTCTCCAGTTTCAGGCTCAGCTCTCCCGCCTTCTGGCCCTCCTCCGCCGCCTTGCTGGTGGCCTTCTTGCACTCACGGACCAGCATGGAGGAGAGCTGCTTGTGGCGGGAGTGCTCCTCTTCCAGCTGACTGGAGAGTTTCTTCTGCTCTTTTTCAAACTTCTTCACTTGGGACTTTTCAAATTCCAGCTACAAAAGAATGGCACCACACATCTTGATTAGGGTAAGGAAACAAAGAGACACTGACAACTGTTATCAAGTAGTGTATCAGGTTTGCTGCTCTCTGCAGGCACATGGGATTACCACACATGCCATGTGCTCACATCAAATATTTCTTAAGTATTACAACACCTAACATAAAAATGTACACATGACGACTTAATCTTGCTTTGATGATTTAGGAGGCACTTCTAGTTCTTACTGTCTAAGGGTTATTAGTGGGAATCTGAATCGTCATTGTGTTCTAGGTCTATGGAAAGTTCAGAGGATTAGAACCAATCAAAACAGAAAGCAGAAAGCCATATAAACTGGATTTTGTGATGAATGCTGATGAAAACAAAACCTTTAAAGCGTCAGTAATAATTCTTTCTGGTCTTAAAAACAAACAAACATAAGTAGCTGCATATGAATCATTCTTCTACACAAATGCCATTGGCTTTAATCATCATCCCAACCCTACTTAAAGCACAAAATGAGAGGGAAAGGGTTCAAGGAACCCTTTTAGTCAGTGTTTTTCAAACTCTGAGACCCATTAATGGATGCAGAAACCATTTAGTGAGCCATTAAGAATTTGAACAAATGAAATAGAAGTGAAAATATCAATGTGTATTATAAGCAGTAAGGGTTATGTATGATTTCATGAGATTTTTGTTTCAAGCATATGTATATATGTATATGTATTTGTGATGTAAAATGTATTTTTTACTAGGAGTCCTAAGTCAAAAAAAGTTTTGAAATCTCAAAGTTAGTATTGCCCAAAGTGTGTTCTATGGAACGAAGGTCCATAGCTGAATGATCTAGGTTAACAGATTTTATGAAAACATAGATTTGCTAAACACAGAATACCCTATATTGATCTTGAAGACTCACAGCATGCTTTGGCATACTACAAAGTCTAAATAGTTGAAGTTAGAAACCTCTTTGTGTGTTAGTTGCTTAGTCGTGTCTGACTCTCTGTGACTCCATGGATTGTAGCCTGTCCATGGAATTCTCCAGGCAAGAACACTGGAGTGGGTTGCCATTTCCTTCTCCAGGGGACCTTCCCGACCCACGGATCAAACCCAGGTCTCCTGCATTGCAGGCAGGTTCTTTACCATCTGAGTCACCAGGGAAGCCTCTTTAACTTTGTTTAATACAGTAACTCCTAGAGTTATCTGACCACAAAGACCTTTTTTTTTTTTTGAGTAACACCAATTTATACCCTGCAGAATAATCTTCAGGAAATGCTACTATAGGTAAATGCCGCTCCGAGCCCTTCCACCTTAATTACCTGTTGAGTCAGCCGCTCTCGCTCCTTCTCCAGCATGTAGGTGACATCATCGCCTTCAGCTGTGTCCTGTGCATGCCTTTGCCTTTCTTCTTCAAGGTCTAGAATTACCTTTAAGGAATTAAAAAAAATCATTTCCAAATATAGGGAGTCACACTTAGAATACAATTTAACAGTAAGTGCCTATCTAAGCATCCAAGATCGCATTCCGTAGATAGGTAAATAAGTAAGTAAATCTCAGTCAGGGCCATCAAGAGCACACTGTCTAGAAGGGTGAAAGATATGTGCTAGAAAAAAATACGTATGTACTTTACCTCACACAAAGTGGTATGGAAACAGAAAAGAGGAACTCATTAGCTGCAGGGACTGAAAAGGTTTCAGAGAATTAGTAAGTTTGGTGGGATTAGGGGACAGGTGTAGGTGATGAAGTAAGGCAGATTCATGGAAAGCTGAAAGCTGAGGCTTTCCCCGTGATGCTCAAATCACTGGAGGTACCAGAGAGTGAAGCCTGAAATTAAACATTTCAAAAAGGTGACATCCTAACTGTGCCTTGCTTAATTAATATATCCATCTTGTATACAGTTAGATAAGAAGTAAAAAGATTCTCTAGACTTCATCTTGCATACAAGAAGGCTCAATTATTGAGATCTGAAGTGGAGATTTTTCATAAGGCCTTTTAATTAACTGTCTACCCATTCCACTTACCCTGGTGGCAAGCAATTAAGCCCAACTTTAAGGAGAGTACAGATTTAAAGGGGCACTTCCCCACATAACCCTGCCTACAACTGCATAATATTCCAATAATTATGGATTTCTTTGTAGCTTCTGCTCATGATTCAGAGGCGAGTTGGCCCAGACCTCCTCAAGCCAGAGCACTGTCATCCCCATGGCCATTTCTCATTGTTTCTCTTCACTAACAACTGTTATGAATGGAGAAAGAAGACTTTCTGGGACTCCTCTTTAAATACAAAAATGAAAACATTCTGGTGTATTTCCTTCTGGTTAAAAAAAGATTTTGGCTTCTCTCCAGCAAGTCTTCTAAAATTATAGAAATGGAATGAAAAGGAAAAAAACCCTAAAAAGAGAGACTTTGGCAGACAAATTTTAATATTCTGAAGAAAGAAAGAGTCTGGAGGGATGGTAGCTACTTGGTACAAGGGAGGAAGCTGTTTTGCCCTGTAGGACCCCAAAGACATAGGGTACCTGCAGATGGCAGATATTGCAGAGAAGAGGTAAGGTGTAGGATGGAAGACAAGGGAACTAGTTCCAGGTATGTATTTTCAAGAGTTATCTGTCCCTTCAACCTGATTCCTGTACACAAAATGTCCAGCCAGGCATCTACTGCCCAGGAATACACCAGATGTTTATACTCTGAAGAAACAGAATGTGACAGCCTCCAGATTTGGTAATAACGGATATGACAGAGAATAAAGGTGAGGAAAGGGGATTATTTTTATTTTGGGAAGATGGCAGGGTGAAGAGGAAAGGAAAGTGGGGTGCTAATAAAATCCACATCTATAATAAAAGGAAGTAAATATAAGTGTCTAAAATTGATAAAGTGAGAGAGCAATATATTAGTTAGAAATATGGAAAAAATATATGGAAGTTAGCTAACAAAATAAACATTAAAAGAAGAAAAGTGGTTGTCTCTAATGTTGAAGAGGAGAGGGAATGGGAAAAATAGGGAACCCTATTTTTCATAATAAGCACAGTAACCATGTAACTGACTGTTTAAATCACTAATATGTCTAATAGCCAAAGTTTAGGTATTGTTAACAGCCCTGCCAAGGCACCAGGCTTAAACTGGCAATCTCTCAGGCAAACTGGGACTATATGCATGTTAATTATAAGTCTCTAGGTAGTATGTGATGTCTAATGAAGTCAATGTTCTACTTTGATAAAACACTTAAGAATAGACAGGCAGTGATTTAAAACATTTAATGCTATCTTACATTGCAATATAGTATTAGGAAATCTTGAAATTTTTAACTCTTCTCCCCAATCACCTAGGACCATAAATAATCCCAACACTATTTCAACAGTGATAGCCAGTCAGCCCTTTAGTACCACTCAATTACTTTATGTATGAAATGGAAAACAGGCTTGCCTATTAAATAAAGAGATGTTGTATAGATTTTCTTATAATATTATGTAAAAGCCCCCAAATTTAGGCAACTAACCCTAACTCATTGACATCTTTTAAACTGGAGCATAAATGTCTTCATATTACTTCAGTCTAAAACAGAGGTTAAACTTTTCTGGGTCTTGGAGCAACTCTGAGAATTCTAGTAAGGATAGGGGAAAAAAAAATTCATTTTCTATAAAATGCATAAACTTTTGCATTCATTGTATTTTCTGGGCGGTCACGGAACATCTGAGACCTGTTCGTGGTTAAGAACTCCCATTCTGGCTTTTTGTTTGGACTCTGTGAAGGGAAAGAAAAATCGTGGGCAAGACCTAAGACCTTAAGCACTTTGTCAGATGCACTTTAAGCAGAGGACTCTCTAAAGCAGGTAACCATAAAGTAAACAAAGATCTATCAGACTGCAGCTGCTAACCCAAAATTTTTCTGAATAAAACACTTCCTACTAAATGCACTGATGTCCCCCCACCTTGTTGATATAAATCTAAACCAACAGTCCTTAAAAATGCATATTCTAGCCAAGCATCTTTTCCAGGCCAAATGTGAGCTATAAATGACGAGTCGGGGAATGAAATCACAAGCACTAGAAGAATTCCAATGAGATGAGGTAGAGGAAAGCACAGGTCTTATCTTAGATGCTGTAAGACCTGGAGACAGACAGACAGACAGACAGACACACACATACACACACATTCCTAATAGAGAACAGCTTTAAGGTAAACAACTGTAGGGACTGTTTATGGTTTCATATGAGGTAAAATGCAATGAAACTCAAAACCAGAAATAAATAAAAATAATCCATTGGCTTGTATGTTTATAGTCAGGTAAATTCTCTCTCTGATACAGCATTCCCCAAATATCCAAATACCTATTAATCTTTCTATTTATCACTTAAGTAAGCAAATAGAGAACATTCTGTTCAGCTACAAGGCGTGGTCAAGCCCCAGTTTGTTGCCAAAGTTTGGGTGATCAAGAGTTGAAAAAACATACCAAGTGTTTTAGAGTGTCATATCAAGAAGGAATGTCATCTAAAATAATGTGTCTGACATACTCCCTAAATTTAACATTTGGAATAAGCTTCATTTTTATCTCCTGGATCCTAGGTAAGCTACTTTTTTTTTGGACACCTGTGAGACCTCCCAGTTGAACTACCATGAGACCTGGCAGCTGACAGAGAAGTATCAGGCACTATTTAGAAAGCTGTCACAGGAGCCTGCGGGCTCATGTCAGCCAGTCACCCACCTTGCGGTGTCGGCTCTCAGCAGCAGCCAGCTGCGACAGCATGCGCTCCTGCATGTTCTTGCACTGTTTCATCACCACCTTAAGAATTGAGAGCGGGTTGGTGCACACTGGCTGCTTCTCGCCATCATTCTTCTCTTTTAGGGTTTCAAAGTCTCTCTGGAGTGCCATTAGAGGATCACTGATGTTGTATTTTCCATAGCGTTCTTCAATGAAAGTATCTCTGTGTTGGGCCTGGGAAAAAAGGAAAAATAAGCATTTTGCTTTCAAACATTACTTAAGATGGGATTTGCTAGCAGTTAGACATCAAAGGTGGTGGCGTTAGTGTGAAGTAACCTATGGACTACAAATCAGACGGGCCATCTAAGTACAGACACAGCATCAGAACAGGGGCACAGCATACTAACGAGAACAAATACTCATACAGTGCTAATTACATGTTAGATGCTGCTCCAAGTGTTTAGATTCAGATTACCTTATTTAGGTTTTACTCTGACTTTTAAAGTAGTGCTATCATTTCCATTTTGCAGATGAGAAAATTACTATGCAGAGGTCAAGTGACTTGTTTCAGGTCACTCGGCTAGCAAGCTGTCAGAACTGGGACTTAAACCCAGGCAGCCTGGCTCTAAAGTCTGCGACCTGAACTGCCATGCTTACTGCCTCAGCTTATTAATGCTTATATTACCAACGGGTATAACTTATCTTTCCTTGCTGAGTTGTGGCATTTGCATTTCTAAAATATGGTAAACATAATATCTTTATGAGTTTACAGATTTAGAGACCTAACAAAGTGGCCACAGATAAGTAAAGGATGCTAAAAATAATTCTACATTATAACAGAGGACTGGTTGTGATTTCTCCACATAGAACTTCACTTGACTGCTGATGGGTCAAGAGGATGGAGGCTCTCAGCGCTAGGGGTGCAGACAGAATCCTTCCCTCTACCCCCTCTTCCAGCCTCCGTTTAGCTGCTATCTTTCATCTCCATTCTGTCCCCTTCAGGGCTCGGGGAACTTGAGCAGTGAATGTGGGCTGGTGCTTGGGGTCTGGCTGAGGGCTTTGGGCCTGGGCACCCAGTCAGGTCAAACCATCAGGAAGGCAGTCGAAGGAGATTCTTAGGCTACTGTCTTGTCTCTGCTAGGAAAAATCTGAAGTACTATTTCATTTGAGCATCATATATTACGTGCAGGTGAACAAAGGACATTAATAATCACTTTAGTAAACAGACATTTAAATGTTTCCTAAGACATTTTACAAAAAAAAAATGAAGTATTCATAGAGGATTGAGGAAACTTCCTTAAAAGTCACAGCAAAGTACTGTATAATTTAAGCTTTCAAATGAAATCTAGTTACAAAAACTACTGTCATTTCTCAATTAAAAAAATTATTTTATCAGGAGCTATATATATATTTTTACTACCACTACCCACAAACGGGAACCCATTTGAAAAGAAAAATACAGAATTCAATGACCATGCTTAAAAAACAGAACAAAAACCCTCAAGAAAATAAAGCAAACATGGGTTTCTTTGACACAGAAATAGGTTTCAGTGCTGGACATTTGATGCCTCCTCCTTCATTAGAGACTGTCAAAGTTCAAGACTCAGGAATTAGCCTTGTGTTAAAAATTTGTGTTGGTATTGGTTGGCAAATGCTCAAAGCAGAGTTAGAAGCCCTGGGTTTTACTTCTGGCTTGACTACAACCATATTAAGCAATGATGTTATTGGAGTATTTGGATAATATCTGTATACTAGAACTTTGAAATTCATTTGTTGCTGTAAGTTACTGTTAACTAACCCCCTAACCTTATTATAAATATATATGTGTGCACATGTGAGCATGTAAATTAAAAGACAGAATCCTATTTTGAGGTCCAAATTAAAAAGAAAATTCTCAGTAAAATTTCAAAAATTTCAAAATCAAGTCCATTTAGGATGGAGAAAGACAAGACCAATTCCAAAACTAACTATCATCATCATCATTTTGGTTGTACCTTGCGGCATGCTGGATATTAGTTCCCTGACCAGGGACTGAACCCATGCCCCCTATATTGGGAGTTGGGAGTCTTAACCACTGGACTGCCAGGGAAGTCCTATTATTTTTTAAAAAATCATAGCAAGAGTTGACAAAAAAGCTAATTTTAATTACATATATAAGAGCATTAATGTCAAACAAATGTGACTCATCAATGTTTTCATGAAGAACATCTTTTTCTTTTAAGTTTAGGTATAAAAACATGAGATTGATAACCCAGGATTCAATGAAAGTATCTATTTGTAGCTATTAATGTCCTACGGCAAATTCTTATTTAGCAAAACAGACAAAGGAAGCAAGAGAAAAAAGGAAAAAAAAAGTCTTTAAGGAGTTGAAATCCCACTTTTCTGTAACATCTTTTATTCATGATTACTATTTCTGTAAGATTAGCTATGGAAAAGAAATGATTATTGGCACTGAAATTGGTTTAGTAGGGCAAAAAGGAAAAAGCAAACTTGAATATTTTTATGACCTTTTCCTTTTCAGAACACCATGGAGAAAGCGGTACGGGAGAGCAGAGCTGGGAGTACAATTCAAGATTGATATGAGATCTGCTGAGAAGCTCCTCTCAGGTTTGAGTACATATTTAACTCACCCTTAAAAATACGACTTTTTAAAACCCACACCATTATTATCCTGTAGAATTAATAAGCATCACAGAGTTACAAGTAATGGATGCGGAGCTTCTGTGGTGAGGTCTCAGACTTCTCTGAGAATAGTTGTCAAGCTGTCTGTTTTCTCTTGAAGTATTTCACTGTAATACATAGTCACTTGCATAGTAATTACAAGTTATATAAAATTGGTAGCTTCAATATAAGTGAAAAGAATCTGTGAAATAATCAAAAAAAGGTGCCTTATCATTAAACAATTCTCTTAAGTACATTCTAATAAGGGCCCGAATATGGGAAAAGTGAATTCTGTATTTATTATACCAAACAGTAGATTGGAAAATGAGATGGAATATAGTATTTTCCAACCAACTTAATGCGTCAGTGAGGTGAATTGGATGGGTTACACACTTAACAACCTAAATAATAACAACAAAAATAAACAAAAATAGATGTTAAGGTTTGATAAATGAAAGAAGAGGTTTAGTGGAAGTATGTATGGTTATTTAGGCTTCCTTGGTGACTCAGATGGTAAAGAGTCTGCCTGCAGTGCGGAGACCTGGGTTCGATCCCTGGGTCGGGAAGATCCCCTGGAGAAGGAAATGGCAACCCACTCTAGTATTCTTGCCTGGAAAATCCCATGGATGGAGAAGCCTGGCAGGGTACAGTCCATAGACTTGCATAGTCAGACATGACTGAGCAACTTCACTTCACATGGATATTTATTCCTGTTTAACAAATTACCCCCAATTTAAATGTTTAGTGAACCATTTTTAATCTCATACAGTTTCTGAGGGTCAGGAATCTTGGAGGGGTTGAGGGCTGAGCTGGGTGGTTCTGGCTCAGTGTCTTATGAAGTTGCAGTCAAGATGTTGGCCAGGACTGCAGGCATCTGAAGGCACAACTAGGGCTGAAGGATCTACTTCCAAGCTTGGTTGTTGGGTTAGGCTTTGTCTCCTAGCATGTGCTGGCTTCCCACAGAGCAAGTGATGTGCGAAAGTGAGAGACAGATAGACAAAGACACATCAAGATGGAAGTCCCACTGTCTTATAACCTAATCTCAGAAGTGACTCCCCATCATTTCTGATGTGTTCTAGCAACCACACAGACCAACCCTGGTAAATGTGGCCAGTGGGGACTACATAATGGTGTGAATATCAGGAGCAGGATCACTGAGGGCCATCTTTGAAGCTGGCTATCAAGGTGAATGACTAGACATGCTACCATACCATTCACATTTCAGGTTAAAATTTAGACTTAAATACCTATTCTAAAAACTGTCAAGGCTGAGCTTTAATATTTTAATGATATCTTAGCTATTTTATAAGAACTTTAAAATGATCTAGATTTCACTTTTGGGGGGAAAAGATGAGGAGTGCTGCTAAAACCAGTCAGTTGTTTGCAATTTCATTATTTTCACTTTAGTGACAATATGTATTTTAACTGAACACAAATTCCTACATTGTCAGAAAACACAATGGTCTTTAATTCCAGATAACAATAAGTAATTGGCTTATCAGACAGATTCAATAATAGAGGATATTACTACAGCAGACAAAACATACTAGTCATCTATTACTCATTTATTTTTACTGTTACAGGCTGAATGAAACATGCCACTACTGAAAACTTGACACAAAGTAAGTACAATAAACATGAATTAATTTTTTCAATAGCAAAGTTTAGAATACAGATTTTCCTTTATTTTACAGTCAATGACTTAAACTCAACTCCACAGATTTAAGATTCTGTAAAACTGGATCAGGCTAGGAAATCTTCATTAAAAGCAAAACAAAATTCACCAATCCCAGATAACTCAAAAGTAACACATCACTAAAAATATATCAGGAACCTGGATAATCAATAACACTATTTACTTAGCAACCAATCTTCAACTAGTTTTGACATAATTATATAATCTGGTCAACTGGTATGTAACTCTTGTGTTGTTATAAACATTTCTCACTTTCCTGTCTTTATTTCATCCTCACTAGATTTTAAGTTATTTGAAGGAAAAAGCACTTATCATACATCTTTCTTCCTACATTCTGTATTTTGCCTTAAGCCTAAGACATACAATAGATGTTTATTTTCTAGCCTCTTTCCTGATGTCTTAGCCTCTCTGTGCTCTCATCATTTTAGTGAGGTCAAAATTTCTTTTTTTTTTTTCTGTTAGTAAAATCTAGACTAGTTCTAAATAGGAAAAGGAGTATGTCAAGGCTGTATATTGTCATCCTGCTTATTTAACTTATATGTACAGTAAATAATGAGAAACGCTGGGCTGGAGGAAGCACAAGCTGGAATCAAGACTGCCGGGAGAAATATCAATAACCTCAGATATGCAGATGACACCACCCTTATGGCAGAAAGTAAAGAACTAAAGAACCTCTTGATGAAAGTGAAAGAGGAGAGTTAAAGGTTGGCTTAAAGCTCAACATTCAGAAAACTAAGATAATGGCATCTGGTCCCATCACTTCATGGCAACTAGATGGGGAAACAGTGGCTGATTTTATTTTTTTGGGCTCCAAATCACCGCAGATGGTGATTGCAGCCCTGAAATTAAAAGACGCTTACTCCTTGGAAGGAAAGTT